CTCTTGTACCAGGTCAACATATTCAATCAATATATATTGATGATACACAACAACATAATGAAAATAATGATAATCATAGTATTAATCATTCGAGAAAAACGACAACCGACTCATCAAACATAAATGAAAATTATTATGATATCGATGATATTCCACAAGAAAATTCGTACCCATAATTCATTTTCTTTCTTTTTTTTTCTTATGAAAAACAACATATTTTGTAGTTTTATGTTATGACAACCAAAGATGTTTACCGTAAATTTTACAAAATGTGATGGTATGAGTAGAAGAATTAAGAAGAGTACAGTGTCACTTCAACTACTTTCATCAGTAGTACAAAATTTTGTATACCTTCTGATTGTGTCACTATTTCACAATTAAAACAACAAAGAAACTATTTTTGTTAAGGACCACGCGTGAACTAAGACTAATATGTGTTAAAGAGTGAATAGATTATTGTTTTCTTGCATTATTTATTAAATTTATTTAAAAAAAAACTATCAGTTTCTACTTTAATAGTAATTGTTCTAAGTTCTAATAAAATGATTCTTTTTCTTTTGAGCTACCATGTACGTTTTATTCAGAGCTCGATTTAGTTTTAAAGATTTGTCTGATAACAACAAAGAAATTCTAATGTATATGTAATTTGTTGACACAGTATAAAAAAATAAAAATTATAAATGATTTAATTTGAAAGAGTTAGCTCGTACTATTATTATTTTAGATAATGTCATCTGAAAAAGGAAATTTGTCTCGTGTACGAAAACAAAAATTTCAAAATTCATTTAAATATAAAAATGATCTACATGATACAAGTCATACAATAAAACATATAAATGCATTAGAATTAAAAGGTTTATGTGAACATTGTCGAAATGTTATTCAATGGAAAATAGAATTTAGAAAATATAAACCATTATCACAAGCGAAAAAATGGTATAAACTTTAGCATGAGAGTTTTTTTTGTTTTTTTAAAGAAGTACAATCGTATGTGCTGATTTTTATTTAGTGTGCGTTGTCTACAACGAACAGTATTGCGGGCCTATTACATTGTATGTGATGATTGTGGTATTAATTATAGTTTATGCTGTAAATGTGGACAAACAAACAATGATATCGAGTATGTTCGTTTAAGAGCACACTAGAGATGTACACCGGTATTGTTTTCGTGCTCGTGCCCGATCCGAAAATGTTTTTTCTACTCATACCCGACCCAACCCGAGAACTCTGTATCCGTATCCGACCCGTAGCCAAGTTATGCATAAAAATTTTTCAGCTAAAAAGTTTTGTTGCTCAGCTGGAGATGACAAATTATCATGACGTTCTCAAGTAACTGTTTTTTAAAACTTGATGTATTTTAGCCAACATCTCGTATTTTTTCACTAAAGCCTTTCGGTTTTCGGGTAATTAAAGAAAAACGATACCCATAGCCAACAACTTTGTACCCAATCTTCGGATCGGTTCGGGTACGGATCGGGTGCACATCTCTAGAGTACATTCTTCTCTGTTGTAAAATTTTTTCGAGATAGCCTAATATGGCTTTTGACTACAAAATAAGACCTCTCTCAGTATTCCACTATCTTTTTAGAAAAAGTTATGAGTTTTTTAAGTTTTTTGCTCGAACAATTGCAAAAGTTCAGTTGTTTTAGTTTCCGAGATTTTTCACTCCTTTTGGTGTCTTCAAAATTATTTCATCTATTTAATCTGAAAGAGGAAAATGTTCTCTTCACAAATGAGATACATCATTTTTGAAAATTTTTGCAGAGATATTAAACAGGTTACTTTTTGTAAGGTATTTGCGATGATATTTATGTTCACTGTAAAAAATGTTCAAAATACTGAAAATCGTGTATTTTGAGAAGGATAGGGATGTTTCTATTTCGTAGCTCAAACCATCCGTCATATTAGATTATGTCAAACATTTTTTCAAGAAAAGAGTAGAGATAGTACGCTTAAATAGAAAAAGTTGATCGATTTTTGTATCTGTGATGTTTCTTCATCTATGTTCAGACGACCTGTCCCAGAAGTTGTTGAAGTTCGTGAACAAGCTGAATTTGAACTTGATATTAAATCATTGCGTGAGAGACAACGAAGTATGTTTTAAAATGTATATCTTATCGATGAAAAATCTAATATAATTCTGTTTTTAGGAAAATTTTATCG